TTACTTTTACAAAATAATTGACACAATTTTGATGAGAAAAAGAGATATAAACAAAATGAAATTTCTCCTATTTTTTTCTGAGTGAAAATATAGGGTGAGAGATACATTTAAATTAAAATTTAGGGCGCTCTAGATAATCTCAGAATGGGGCCAGTCACCGGAAAGACCAAGGGATTAGAGGGTGGAAACTCTCAACCCCATCCACCAGCCTCCAGGGAGGGGTGCCTGGAGATCAAGCTCTGAAAACTTCAATGAGATTTGGTGAGCTTCTAAGTCACTGAATACATGGAGGGCAGTGCACCTGGAGAGGGCCTGGAAGCTTACAAGTTCCTTACCCCATACCTGGCCTTATGTGCCTCTTCATCTGGATGTTCATCTGTGTTTATAATATCGTTTATAATAAACTGGTAAATGTGGAAAAAAAAAATTATTAGTGGGATTCTTAATTTGACCATGTTGGATTTATCTGGAGGAAGGTAGGATTAGGTGAGGATTTTTAAACTGTATTCCATAATGTATTAATTTTGACACTTCACAGGTATGATGTTTTTCTTTATGTTTCTAGGAAAGATGGATCAAAAGAACCAATAGTGGAGATGAGAACTGAGGATGAAAGAATCACTAATCATGAAGATGGCAGCCCAGTAAATGAACCAAATGAAACCACACCACTAACAGAACCTGAGTATGTATCTTGAGATGCTTACTTATATTTATTATTATTTTTTATTTCAGCATATTATGGGAGTGCAGATGTTTAGGTTACGTATGTTGCGCTTGCCCCCCCCACCCCAAGTCCGAGCTTCAAGCGTGTCCATCCCCCAGATGGTGCGCATCGCACTCTTTGTGTATGCATATGCCCATCCCCTCCTCCCCCCTGCCTCCTCCTCCCTACCTGACATCCAATAGATGTTATTCTTATATTTGCACTTATGTGTTGATCAGTTAATACCAATTTGATGGTGAGTACATATGGTGCTTGTTTTTCTATTCTTGGGATACCTCACTTAGTAGAATGCGTTCCAGCTCTATTCAGGAGTATACAAGAGGTGCTATATCACCATTGTTTCTTAAAGCTGAATAGTACTCCATGGTATACATATACCACATTTTATTAACCCACTCATGTATTGATGGACACTTGGGTTGTTTTCACATCTTTGCAATTGTGAATTGTGCTGCTATAAACATTCGGGTGTACGTGTCTTTTGTTCTTTTGGGTAGATACCCAGTAATGGGATTGCTGAATCAAATGGTAATTCTACTTGTATCTCTTTAAGGTATCTCCATATTGTTTTCCACAGAGGTTGCACTAGTTTGCAGTCCC